TAGTTAATGAACTTTCAACTGTTTTGTCCCATTCTACCTTCAATCTATTTCTTTCCAGTCTTCATGCAAGTGTAACTACGAGTCTACTATTTGAACTTTTGCTTAGTCGTATTCATTTTTATTAAACTATGATGTTTTCTTGTTTTTCTTTGGATGTCTCTGTTCTTAGGAAATTGACCCATTTCTTAGACAACGAAATTCACTTGTCCTTTTAGGCTACCTTAGATTGACTTCCCATTTTTGTCTCTTAAGTTCTATTCGTCCTACTGAGTTTTTTAAAAAAGATTTAATGCTTTTTTTGTGCCTACACAAGCTTTTTTATATTCTTAGTCACTCAGCTACAACGTAGGACCAGGCACTTATGTGCATCGGTCCAAGTTACCATACCTCATTAGCACAACAAGATGAACCCCGGATTCATAGTAGCTAATTTAATGGTGGTAATATATAAAAGATTGTGTATAAGGATATAGTACAGAAAGGAAGAATTAGTTCGTAGAAAGAAAGATATGAAGTTTAAGGGAAGACAGAAAGTGTATACACCTATGCCCTTTTGATCGATTGTGAGCCATGTCACCAAGAGTCTCTAACCACTGGTTACGATAGTCACGCAGACCCCAACCAAATAGTCTGCGTCTACTAACATGGTTCAGACCAGAAGCTAATGACTTCTAGCACTGATGCCACGTTTTGGTTTGGCTGCACCTAGCTTCCTTCCAACCATCCCCAATACTAGTGAGCATTGCATGTCGTGGTAATCAGTGTTCAGCCATACGTAGATTTGTTCATTTCATGAAAATGAAAATACTTATCTTAACCACAAATTCACATTAATGTTTGAATACCCTTGATTGTTATATTTAAATATATTCTTTCTGTGGTTATCTGTTACATTTTCAATCAATGTATATTGTATCAATCACTTTCGGTCATTTTTACATTCGTTTAGTGAATTACTAAATATTAAATAATGTGTACTTTTAATTAGTGATTTCATTTCAAGTTATAGCTTTCACTATATTGATTCTTGTCATTTAATATATTGGTCTGTACTACACTAACTTGTCATAACAGACAGTGACAAATACGTAAAATGAAAACTTCAAATGATATTGTTACTAATGCAATTAAATTAAAGTATATTATAAAAGCATATTTCTTTTTTCTTGTTTGCCGCAATAAAATCAGAAATTAATTTTTGGTACTATCAAGATAACTATATACATATCATACATTAGGCACATCGTATTGAGGTCAGTGTATAAATTGTTTCGAAAACTATAATGTTTACAAGTTTGCTTATTTTCCAAATGGATATTGATATATATTTATATATAGATTCATATATGGTTCTACACTAATTTGCATTAATATTTATTATAATTTTTCACTGTAAATGAACAAACATTGTTGTATTAAAGATAATATATATCTCTAAATAAGTGACTATTACTTCAATCAAGGTTATGTACGAATAGTTAGTAAAATGTCATAAAGATGCATTGATTGTATGGAGTGGGATAGTTAAGGTAATCGACTTTTTAATTATATTAGATTGTTGTACAATAATTACCCAACATCAGTGATTGGAGAGACCAGGATTGTTCACAATTGGACAAAATGCTTTCACATTTTATCTTGTCTTAGATCTTCTGTTCTACTATTCCTTCATACGTGACTTTTCTTTCTGTTTTTTTTCTAAACTATGTCCTCAAAGTTTAGTCTTTCGCATTACCATTACAGCTATTTAAATTCCTTTTATGCTACCCCTTTTGTTAAATTCACTCCATTGTGTTGTGACCATATGGGCTAATGTTTATAACTGACTGACTGACTAATCTACCGCTTTTCGTAGATATATTCAATGTTCTCACATAAACGCTTCGAGCTACTTGCTTATTTGGAAAAATGCATGCACGATCTTTCATTAATATCGTAATTTCTTTTTTCTATGATTTATTGCTTTGTATAATTATTAAAAAAGCTCCGGTTATCCCGTTGATATTCCCAATTGAATTTTGAACAGTCGTCGACATATGTTCATCTGATGTGGATCGACGCTAACAGTTGAATACAAGACTTTGTTTTCGTCCTATTTTGGACTCATCAATAAGATACACTTCTACCCCAACGTTGATGTTCACAACGAACTCCAATCCGTTGCATTTCACCTTAAACTCCGAATATGTTATCCACTGTGCTACTGAGTTTAAATAGCCACTAATTCGTGTAATGGTTCTATGTTAAAATGATGACTAACCAACTGGCTGATATTAGAAATACGACTCAAACCACACTTTAATCATTCTTGTTCATTCAGTTATATTGTATCATTAACTGTCAGATGTAATATGTGTACATGAATTTAAAACAGATTATTAAATTACATTCAATCAATCATCTATTTATATTTTACATTTTTTCTACGTATGGGAATTTATCGTCTACTATTTGTTCATGTATAATTGGAATAATTTGAAAATAGTAACTAGATTTGATTCTCCACAAATGTTTAAAAGGATTCGTTTATGTTTACAGTATGTTTTTATGCCAAACAATGTACTATCGTGATAAACGTTTCTTTGTTGTATGAGCAATCGGAACCCCTCATGAAAATCTTTAGCGGTTCCAAATATGCTGAAAATATATCTAATTAGCGTTCAGTAGAATTTTTTAGGAGCATTCTAAAAGCCAACAGATTACTTATATCCCGATTGGATAATTACCGACTACAACCGCATGATCGCATATAAACCTTGGGAGTGAAATTTCTTTCATATTTTCCACCCTTCGTTTTCTTGTTTCAGGTCGAAGACTAGAAGATTTCTAGGCACTAGAAAACATTCATGAATTCTGTGTCTAAGAGCTTAAGTACCAAATATATCAATAAAGTACACGTTATATTTTACAGTGCTATTTTCACACTCAACTACTCAGTTTATCTCATATAATAATCTCTCCATATTTTATCAAAAATAATTTTCATTTCATCATTTATGATTATATGAACTGAAAATAGAAGAGTCACCCTTTAAGAAGATCGATTTTTCAGTCTTTCCTATTTTTGAGTATATTAGTGTCAGTAAAATGAAAGATAGTTGTTTTCCTACTGAAGTAAAATTATTATTCCTTATCTTTTTATGCATCGATACAGCTTGGTATATGAACTAAAAGTTTAGACGTTTGTCAACACCGATTTTGAGAAGACAAGCTGTTGGTTCTAACAAACTAACTTCTTACTAATAAGCCCTACGATACTAAACGAATTCGATTTAATTACAGCTCTTTACAAAGAGAATATATAATCTCTGACAGATTATCAGGTTGATATACTGAAATCTTTCCAAATCATCAGTCAACACCCAAACTCCATTTTTCTTAAATTTTCCGAAGCTATGACTAAACGTTTCAAGCTGGATTTATTTACCCAAAAATTAAGCAGTCACAGATCTTTCCTTATCATAGTTACTTAATCGTCAGTTTCTTATATCATTCTTGTAATTCTCTTATTTTGATTGCACCACTTCTTTCAAATTCAGAATTTTATTTCCAACTGACTGATCTCAACTCATTCTTATTTGTTATTAATTTATGTTCAATTACTCCATCACATAATCAGTTGATTTCTTCTTAGCTCTATGGTCCCCTGTTACTATGTTCGATGATCCAGAATCTTCTCTCGCATTTTATGTTTACACCACTCTTTATAATTCTCAAATTTTCATTGCATTTACTCGAATCATCGCTATCCATAAAGAAAGAGTGGGATTGGAAGAAGTTGGTCCTAAAAATGTACACTGCCTTATCCCACTGATTTCCGTCTCCGGTGGTAAGGTCTTGAGAAGTACGGAACTAAAACAAAAAGGTCGTGTGTGACCGGCCTCAAGCAGTTGTCCCTTGGGCATGTTTTTCTGTCCAATTATTTTTTCTTGCTATCCCAAAGATCATAGTAATGGCAACTAATTATGTGATATGTTCGTTTTGTTTCTCATCATTGTACTTCGTATTTTTTATTAAAGGCAATCGTTATTGAGTAGTGTATTTACATTTTCGTTATTGAGTTAAATTGTTAAATAGGAACTATTTATTGTATGTAACCCAGTTACTTGTAAATTCATGTACACATATTACATATGACAGTAATTGATGATACTATATAATTGACTGAACTAAAGTGATTAACGCGGGGTTCGAATCGCCATTCTAATGTCAATTAGTCATCATCGATGTAGAGTCTAGCACGGACAGGTTCTCTAACATTGCGGTTTATGATATTTTTGGAAACTAATATGTGATATTTGTGTCAATTTATTATTTGTCCACAAATTTCTTAGTGATATTAGTAATAATAATATTGTACTTGTAAATGACAAATTTATACATTTATGTTCTTCGATGATTTAATGTAGTCAATAGGTAACCCTGGATTTGGGTTTTGTGTGCTAGTTGGCACTCATCAACAAGGTGTACCTGAAAACTTGATAAATTGATGTTCTCTATTCCATTCGAACCTTGATCACTTAGTACCTCAGTCCATAACATTACCAATGAGTTATTCTGACTGCCTGAGGCTTCCTGTACGACTGAATTATTTACATAAATTGATTACTAATTAATGACTAATATCATATTTGTCTGCTCCTTAGTGGTGGTTGAATTTTATCGACTTATTCTGCTTTCATCCACTTAACATAAATCTGAGTGCACTCAATTTCGAGTTACTGAGTCTAGTTGCTATATTTCAACGTGATCGATACAATTCGACCAAAACCAAGGAAATTCTAGACAAACATGATACTGACCATTACTTAATGACTCATCAATGTATATATTATGATTAGTTTTCTAATATAACTAGGGTTTTGTTGTAATACGTTTAACATATCGCTGATGTGTAATTACCTAGTAGAAAATGCTGATTGTTTGTAGTATATTGAATTTATTCTATTTCAGAAATAAATAATCAGATTGTTTCCTTAAATCCTATCTTATTAATTTAGCGTTTCCCTACTAATGTACGAAAATATCAACTTGATCGAGTTATAGCCCGGTTTGATTTCGAGACCAAAGGTGCCGGTGAATTATCTTTACATCGTGGTGATGTTATCGAAGTGATTAATCGTAATGATGAAAATTGGTGGCGTGGTCGTACATCCGATGGACGATGTGGCCTATTTCCATCAAATTTTGTAGATGATTTACCTTCAGTCATATAAATAAATTTTCAGTAAAATACTGCTTTAGAAAATAGTAAGTAACTAATCAATCAATCATTCACAAATGTTGCCTCGTTAACTTTCTTTTATACTTTAAAATCTTTCTGTGTATGTGTGTGTGTGTTTTAGGGCATAAGCATCCCTAGTTTCTGTAAACATATACATGTAGCTCTCTTTTTCTCTCCGTTTATCATACTGACAAGGATTTAAACCTCGTTCAGCTTTGTATTCATATACTTTTTTTCCAATAGCTATACATACATTTATCATATTAATTATCGTGAAAAAGAAAGAATAGATTAACAACACGTGCATATAATTTACATAATAGAGCACAATAAACCTCTTTGCTTGTTTGTTTGTTTGTTTTATATACTGTTCTTTGTCCAATTTCTTTGTGTTTTGTTCTTCAAATATTGATTTATCTTCTTAAAATCTAATCGAAAATATAAGAAGAACAAATCAAGTAAATATTTACAAATAAAAATGTTATTAGCATATTAAGTACTATAATAATTTGTTTCAATAATATTTAATGTTTTTCACTAGGTATTGGGGCTTTTTATTTGATCGTCTTGATTTATTATTATTATTATTATTATTATTATTATTATTATTATTATTATTATTATTATTAGACATTGAATTCTGATAATTACGTAATCAGTGAACAATTTTCTATCTTAACTGAATGTATAAATTCTCTTGTTGGTGCTGTGTTCTGCCTTGATGTTGAATAGTAACTATTAATCAAAACAGCATATTTTCCTTTGAGTTGATCCAACTATATATTTATATATAAACGGATGGATGTTGTCTGTGAAACTCGTCTATTTTACTGTCATTATTGCTATTTCTTTGTATTGCATTGTTTGTTGTTTCTCCCCGAGTCTTTGTTATTTTCTTACCCATACTACAATATTATTATTATTATAGATATTCTTAACTGTGCAATACACCTTAATCAATCATTATGCATGTACGCACCATTCATCATCACACTTGCTGCCATTTTTGCTTATTTTGTATTTCCTTTCTTTCACTAGTGTATATCTTCAGTGTCCTGTTATTTTATTTCGTCCCATTTTGTTGTCGTTACCATTGTATGGGATAACCGTTGCCACTCATATCTTTTTCCCATGTACACTGATCAGTCCATATGGTTTGAGGCTGATTTTTTTTAAAAAAATTTCCGATTTACCATGTTTTGTTTTGTTTCTTGTGTTCATTCCGTTTATGGATTAATATAAGAGCGCGGAACAGACGACTATGTGAATAATTACATTATCATATTATTATTATTATTGTAGTTTACATTCTGATGTTATTAATGTCTTTTTTAAATGTTCAAGACTTTATAGTAGTGACTTGTGTTCATTAGCATTTTATTTCCTAGTTTGCTTCTATTACTGACTATAGCTTTTATCTTCTATCAGTTATTGAACTTGTCAATTCTAATTGTTTGTTTGAGTTACATTGGTTTAAATGCTTCTACCTTGAAATCATAACACCCTGGTCAAGTTGTTTGAAGAATGATCTAATCAAATAAAACAAATATAAATTCTAAATGCAAAGTTGTACTACTCTCTATACTATTTTGCATTGTAAAACCAATATCTGGCCACGTAAAAAATTGGACTAGGGCGTTCCTAAAATAGTACATCGATTCTACTCGCAAGTTTCATTGTATGTTCTAAGTTGATTCTGCAAGGATAATTACTCACTAGAAGGTCGCATATGACCATCTTCTGATAGTTTTTTCTTTTAAGTCACCATCCACTTTCTCAATTTCATGAAACCAACTTAACGAGCACAAAATCTAGATCCAGGCATTCTTGCTCATAGCCTCATATCATGTAGCATACTGATTAGTCTAAGCAGTGAATATTTGTTGCAAGGAAGAGCTGATACGACTTCTAGAGACCAGGACCTTGTTTTCCATAGTCCACATTTTTCGTTATCTATTGGTTTACATGTTTGAACTTTGTTCCATAGTGTCCCGCCAACAATGTGTAGTGTTTTTAGAATGATAATTTTGAAAAAAGCACGTAGCTCCGTCGCACTACTTATTCATATGATAATTAAAATTAGTTTACTATGATTGTATTTATTGCGAAAGCTTCAACTTTTTTTGCTTCTGTCCTTTATTTGTATTTTTCAACTCTTAGCAGCCGCTCTGTATTGAAAGTCCTGTTCTGTATAAACGATCTCAAGTCGGTTGAAATTTCGAATGCTACCAGTGAATACAGAATATGAATCATCTTTCCTGAAACGACGTATACCATTCAGATTAGCCTCCTTCAGCGTCCGCACAAAAATGCAAATCGGACAGAAAATAGGGTTGGGTGATTTCGGAAAGCCTTGACATCGACGTTTGCCGTATATCCGAGACCCACATTTAAGACTTTGATGAAGTCATATGACTTCGTCCTTCATCTGTCGATTCAAAAGACTTGTTTTACTTGCACTTATCCGGAAACCCTCTGGCATCTCCGTCCGGTTTAACCATCATTAACATCGTACTAAACACCATAGCAGAGACAGAACTGATCCATTGCATCCCCATCAACGGTCATTTATGTTTTGTTAAATTAAAAAGCTCCATTATAGTGAGGGGAACTTTGTGTGATATCTTTTCCTCATCTCTGCCTAATCCCCAACAGATTGGGGCCCTGATGCAATCATGACTAACCATCGCCATTAGTTAGACAATGTTCTCAAGAAAGCGTTTTAAGCAGATATTTTAATGCTTGTCAGAGATTAGAATGCACAGATTGTGCGGCTCAGTTCTTAGCGGAGTCACCCAGGTAACCAATTTTGTCTCAGGTCAGAAAAAGTGAGTCTCCTGCAGCTTTTCTTAAACCACAACCTATTTCTAGCCAGCACCAAATTTCGGTACAGTCATCGGCATCCTCAGTCAACAACTTGAACATAGACGTAAATTAGTCACATCGCGATAAACCACGAATGGTGTAGTTTTGAATAAGACTGGTACTCCCCTCGTAGTACCTATCTGATCTCTGATCATGGTACGGTTCGCGCTGAGCTTATCTTGCAGTTTATTGGCCTGAAAACGATGGTATTCTGGGAACAAGCTGATGAAAGTAGGTGTGATAGTATAGATTCATTACACCGGAAAAAAATCTGTCTACAGTAAACAGATAATTCCGACTTGCACTGCGATGTTGATCAAGCTATGCAATCCTCAATTAGTCAGTGGATGTACGACATGTACTTTGTACCTTCTGAATGCATAGTACTTTTACAAGACTGGTGGGAGCCTATGTGTACACACTATTGGTGGTGAGCCGTTAGAAGTATCAGGAAAACTCATGTATCTGGGTAGTTTTATGAGTGGTGGCGTGACTGATGTGATCGATTTACGTATATTGGAAGCCAGATTAGCCTGTTTTAGTTTTTGACTCCTTTGTGTTAGTTTGATTGTAAAACGTCGGATTTACAACTTCACGATGAGAACATTTATACTCTTGAAACCTTTCCTCTTCGTGTTGAGGATGTCCGGTCATATTTGTCTCTGAAGGATTACTGACATTCGGTGCAATACCATAATCATAATGCAAAGGTTTGGCTATGCTTTTTTAGGGACCAATAATTACCTTTAAACACCGGCTCCAGCCGATTGACTATTTGTTATGAATGTAATCCCAGCGTCTTCCATGTCGCACAATAATTCCCAACACTAGGGCTGTGTGGAAACAGCAGTGTGGTAATCGTTCCATGAAGTTGTGTTGTGTTATGAAGGTAATCCATTTAGTACTAGCATATATCGTCCCATCACTCCATTTCTGTGATGTAATTCACTGGTTCGAAACTTTATCAGACATAGCTCAAACCAGAAGCCGTTGACATTTCCTTATTTATTTGGTTCATCTTTGCTTTGATGCCCAGTTATTCTAGTGTTTATGTATATCAAATAAATAAATATTAGAATATGTAATTAAATCAAAATGTGTCTACCATTTCATCGACTAATTAATCTAGGTAGTTTTGAAAAAGTGTTGAGAAACAAAATATTCATTTGATTAGCAAGAATTTACTATAACTTACGTGAACATTTGAAATGTAACGGATGTGGGTTTTTTAATAACAAACTGTTACATGTAATCTGAATAAAAGTCATTCGAGCTGATTACTTAGTAACAATAAAAAACTTTACAGTTCATTAGACTTTAAACCGCTTGTCGAAATATGAAACTGAAGTGTTGTAAAAAAAATGTTCTGATCCATCAGTTTATATTTTATATGTTCATTAATACGATATATTAACTTGGAACAGTGAGCAATGCCATCTTATTCAACATTCAGAATAATACTGTCCTGTGAATTTCGGAAGTCTAGCAAATAAAAAGATAGTAATACAAGTGAAGCTTAGTTGATGTATAAAAATCATGAGTTACTCAGATGGCTTATAGGTGAACTTGAAGTTTTTCAGTCTATTTAAATATATATCAAATTTAGTGATTTATATGTTTAGTTTAGTCTCTGTTTTATTCTATGAATCATACGCTTTCGTTTAACGTATAGGTCACTGTCATATTCTTTTCTATTATAAAGTTGCTCGAATAGACAATTTTATTCTTTTTCTTCCTTGTTCGTTATGGTCTTCCTGGCCATATATTTATTCATGTGCCTGTTCGAGTTAATCTGAGTCAAGAATGAATCGAGTAATTTTCCAGCTAATTTATTTTCTGCTTCTTCGCTTATCAACTGACCAGGTCTGTCCTCAAGGCCTTTCAGTCACAATTAAACTCAAGCACTACTAGCCTTAAGGTTGAACTTAGTAGCTGTTATATCTGTGTCTCTCACTACCTATATTTGAAAAAAATACGAGGAACCACTGCAATTATCACGAGACGAATTAAGAACATCAAGAATGGTACAAGTGAAGATTCATTAACCCGAAAATATGAAGACGACCCTAGTCCAAAATTTACTCATTTATATATTGATTGTACACACATGTTGATTATTAATTAGAATTAAATCAGATATGTGAAAAATATCCAGAGTTATGGAAAAACACATGCTACATCACATGTTGAGGATAGTTGATCTCACTCGAATAAATTAAGGTTATACCGAATAGAATATCATATTGGAAACACAGAAAACAAATACTACACTGAATAATCATCATATAGAATTGAAAATGGAAATAATGTAGAACAAGAATGTAATTTTTCCCTTTATCACATCGGTAACCTATTGCTCCAAGTCCTTAAGCTGAATGGCAACAATACTCTCCTTTATATTAGTGCACAGATGGATCAAGAACAATAACAACTGTCATCCACTGTTTAATCGAAACTAATTTAATTAACATTGTAATCAATAATAGTAATAACTAATAAACTTCATTATATACTTTGTTCCGTATGAAAATCTGCATTCTTTTTATTATTTTCATTTGTGATGAATGTACTTTAGCGAGATGAACAGAAAAAAAGACATTTTATTAGAAAAATTATCAATTTAAGAATAATAGAAAAGTTCGAAATGTTTTCTATTCATTAAATAGTGTAGATAAAATATACAACTAATTTGTATGATCTAGTGGAATGTTGTATTTAACTTGTAGAGTTATGTATAATTTCACAGCAATTACCGTTAATAAATGATACTTATTGAAACTCAGTAAATCAAAGAATAATAAACATGTATTATGTCATATTTTAGGACACTTTAGTCATACAGATTGATCACGATTATAAGGATTGAATTAAAAATCTATTTTAACAGTAGGCATTATACCGTTAATTCAATGAACCAAAATATGTGTTACGTAATAATATCAACCAGTGATTATAACACTGCGTCAACACCTGAACTAAGGATAGGAAGTGAAGTAGTCGAACGCGTTGACAACTTCACTTATCTTGGAAGTCTGGTCAGCCCTATTGAGTTGGCATTTGATGAAATCTCAGCACGGATTCAAAAAGCTCGTTTGGATTTGCCAACTTACGTTACCCTATTTCAAAGGCGAGATATCGGTCTATCAATTAAGGGACGAGTATACTGCACGGTAGTTCGTCCTGTTGTACTTTACGGCTGCGGAACGTGGACATTAATGGTAGAAGATACTCGTAATCTACTAGTATTTGACCACAGATGCCTTAAGAATATTGCTCGCATCTTTTGGGATCACCGGGTAAGTAATAATGAGGTTAGACGCATGGTATTAAGGAATGTTAGTAAATCACTTGATAAGGTTGTGAATCTTCATAGACTAAGATGGTTGGGCCACATGTGACGTATGCCTGAACACCGAATACCACGACGTGCAATACTCACCAGTGTTAGGGATGGTTAGAAGAAAGTTAAGGGCGGTCAAACTAAAACACGGCATCAGTGCTTGAATTCATGAACTTTTAGTCTTAGCCATGTTGGTAGGTGCAGACTACTTGAATGGGGTCCGTGTGACTATTGTAACCAGTGGTTGGAGACTCTTAATGACATGGCTCAGAATCCATCACAAGGGCGTAGGTGTATACACTTTCTGTCCTCCCTTAAACTATGAGAATAAAAGTGCTATATATCTTCCTTCCTGTACTATATCCTTATATACAATCTTTTATATATTACTACCATTGAATTAACCACCTCATCGTGTTGTGCTGTTGAGGTACGGTAACATGGACCGATGGACATAAGTGCCTGGTCCTACGTTCTAGCCGACTGACTGGTCTAAAGTGATTGTAGTCAAACAAATATATTACTAACTGATCTCATTATAGACCTTGAGTATTATTCTAGTATCCCATCTTTCTTTTTGCTTCAATCCTAATCATTTTTTTCAAACTATTTTAAAGTTTCTTATTCTGACC